TCCCTGTAGCCTCATATAGGGCAGTGGGAAATGTCCTCAATAATATTTCTGTAATAAATAAAAAATGCAAGTCAGCATTTCACCGAAGAGCACGTCAGGAAAAAAAAACTCTATAAGATGGGACTAAAAAATATCCCACGCTTTCAGTTTTCTGACAGTCTCACTGAATTGAACGATGAGATCTAGGGTGGTGCTTCTCAAGTTTGTCCACTGGAGGATATCCAACAACAGGGAGCAGCCCTAAGGCACGAGGGGCTACAGCTGAGGCGGCTGCCACACTCACAGCATGCCTTTGGCATTCTCATCTTCAAACGCTTACGCGAATTCTTTATTTGCTTCGTTATAAAATAACGTTTTCAACTGCTGACCCCTGGAGGCGGCCGGCCTCAGGGAGTTTCCTGACTCCTCGAGTGAGTAAGATGCTGTTGCATTGTGTCTGTTTTTGGAGAATTAACGGAACTGAAACGAGCTGACACTGAATTCGGCCACCGGTTTCTTCCTTGTGAGAGGATAGTGTTTCAGGAGCCCAGGCTCACACACACGGGTAGGTACACAGCTCGCTCCCTGAGCTCCGTTAGGGTGGGAGCTCAGGAGAGCACCAGCTCAGCCCACCGCGGTGTGTGCCCTGTCAGGCGGTCCTGGCGGGAGCCCGGATCCCCGGGGCGCCTTCTTCCTGAGTCCCCGGCCACACCCAAGTCTGCGACGACTCAGTACACTCTCCCCTTCCCAGTCAAGAAAGCTCACTCATTACCTTCTTTACTTCTTTGGCACTAATGTGGTAATTTTCATTCCATGTAAATTAGAGATATCTAGGAAAGATGGTAATACGCATACATCGTTTAAAAAAATACGTCTCCCCAATAAACACTGAAATGAGCGAAAGGAAGCAAAATTAATGAAGAAAACTGTCTACTCTAAAATTTTACAAGCCCCAGCCTGCATTAATTTGAATAAAGACATTGCAAGCCTTCATCCAGCTAAACCAAAACAAAACGAAACAGAAATCCAGGTGTGGGAGTGGTAAAACACATGTTCCAAGACACCGGCAGTAAAGGAGCCAGAGGAGGCTCCTCCACCTCAACAGGAGGACGGGCAGGAAGAGGAAACGGTCGTCCTGGACGTCTGCCCCTCGATGGGCGGCCCCTGGGTCAGACCCGTCAGCCTCTCGCCGCCAGGGCTCTGCGGGGAACGGTGGTTTCCAGCACTGACGCCTGCCAGCAGCCGCAGCGAGAAGGCCAGTGGCAGCCCCCAGCCTGACTGGGCCACCCACACGCCTCTCAGCTGCCCTCAAGCTGCCAAGTTACCTTCCGTCCAGTAAATCCGCACTTTGCTAAAGCCGGACAAAATTCGTGTCTGCTGGTGCCGCCAGGAACTCTAACAGACTCAACAAGCATGATTCCTTTTGCACTTAACAACACAACTCAGAGACACATAACACAGAAACTACACAAACCACAAGATAAATGGATAAATCCTCAAGAACTGCATGGACTTTGAGACACCTGCCTCAGAAAGTCACAGAATCAAAAGATTTTTTTCTAAAAAATTAAAGGAAAAATAGATTTTGAGCTTCGTGTCTACTTAAGTTCTTAATTTAAGCTAATTACAATTAAATAAAAGTTAAAAATCAGCTCCTTAGTCTCACATTTCAAATATGTCTAGTGGCTTCTGTATTGGACACTGCAGATTACAGAACATTTCCTTTATCACAGAGTTGTATTGGACGGAGCTGATATCAAGAAGATGTGGTGTGTATATATTTATAGTCCATGGAATATTATTCAGCATAAAAAAGAAGGAAATCCTGCCACTTGCCACCCAAGGATGAACCTGGAGGACGTTATGCTAAGTGAGATAATCCAGACACAGAAAAACAAGTACCATATGATCTCACTTGCATGTGGAATCCAAAATAATCAAACTCACAGAAGCAGAGAGTAGAAATGGTGATTGCCAGGGACTTGGGGGAGGGGGAAATGGGGAGATATTGGTCAAAAGCTACAGACCTCCCGTTATAAAGTGAAGACGTTCTGGGGATCTAATATATGGCTGGTGACTCTAGTTAATACTGGGAGTTCCCTGGTGTTCCTGTGGTTAGGACTCGGTGCTTTCACTGCCGTGGCCCAGGTTCAGTCTCTAGTCAGGGAACTAAGATCCTGCAAGCCACGCCACGTGGACCAAAAAAACAAACAAAAAAAATACTGTATTGTATACCTGAAATTTGCTAAGTGTTCTCAACACATACACACACACATGCACACACACGTAACCATGCGGGGTGATGGGTGTGTGAATTAGCTTGATTGTGGTGTTGGTTTCACAGCGTGTGCACGTCTCAGTCATCAGATCGTGTACATTAAATGTATACAATTGTCAACTGTGCCCCAACAGAGCTGGAAAAAATAAACACTCACTTCCATCCCTAATTTTGTAACATGTTCCTTAAAGAGGGCCTCGCAAGTCGTATAAGCTTTGGGTTGCACAGAGCCTGTCCCCCCTCCTGCCTCACCAACAAGCTGCAGCGAGCACAGGCCTTGAGGATCGCGGACCCGGGTGGGAATGCCGGCTCTGCCACTTCTAGCCGTGCGCCTGTCGGCAGGTCCTCTGAGTCTCAGCCGTTAGTCTGAAAACAGGGGTAAACTGGTGCTTGCCCCACAGGGTGATGTGATATAACATCTCAGCGCAGCCGGCTCACAGTGAGCACAGCACACGCAGCCCACTGTAAGCACACAGTGAGTGTCAGCTATGACTATTTTTTGGTGTTTTCGGAGTGAAGGTTCATTCAGGAAATGCAGGTGAAAAAGGGCATTTTCAGACAAACAAAAGCTGAAGGAGTCTGCCGTAAGAAGACATCCCCTACAGTATGTACTTGGGCATAAGGAAAACGGACCCTGACGAAAAGTCTAAGATGCAGGAAACAATGAAGAGCAATGCAAGTGTAAATACGTGGGTCATTCTGTGAGCATTTACCGTACAGAACAATAATAATAATGTCTTTCAGAGTCTACAGATAGAATGAAAATGCACATCAATAAAGGCTAATAAATTGGGAGGGAGGCAAATATAATTAAACTATTCTAAGGCCTTCCAAGAGGATGGTCAAGGTATTGCTTAATCAGATCTTGGTAAGTTGGGTGTGCAAGTTGTAATCTAGGGTAACCCCCACCAGAAGAATAGAAATGGGGGGTAATTCTCAGGAGATCCAGTGGTTAGGACACAGTGCCTTCACTGCCGGGGCCCAGGTTCTATCCCTGGTTGGGGAACTAAGATCCCGCAAGCCACACAGCTTGGCCAAAATAAAAAACGAATACAAATGGGGTTTATAATTTCTGAATCAGCGGAGGAGAAGAAACGGAATAACAAAAAACACTCAGGGCTGCCCCGGGGGCGCAGCGGTCGGGAGTCCGCCTGCCGACGCGGGGGACGCGGGCTCGTGCCCCGGTCCGGGAGGATCCCACATGCCGCGGAGCGGCTGGGCCCGTGAGCCATGGCCGCTGAGCCTGCGCGTCCGGAGCCTGCGCTCCGCAACGGGAGAGGCCACGACAGGGAGAGGCCCGCGAACCGCAAAAAAACCCAAAAAAACAAAAAAAACTCACTCTAAAAGACAGCGTTAAAGGAGAAAAGAATGAGTGAGACAAGGACGGTTCACAAATGGGATGTTACATTTAAACCAAAATATATCAGTTATTGTATTAAATGTAAATAGACTAAATGTTCCAGTTAAAAGACAAAGATTATCAGAATGTTCTTTAGAATTGTACATTTTCCTAGTTATGATATTTGTCAAAAGAATTCTAATGGAACTTACTCTAGAGTAAGAGGGTCAATTAAATGATAAATTTATAAATGATAAAATTTGTATTCACTTAATAACAAACTCAAAATGTGTACACTAAAAATTGACAGAACTAAAAGGAGAAATCGACAATCTTAGTGGGAGAGCTTCACACAGCTCTCTGAGGGACAGACAGAACAAGCCCACAAAAAGCAGTAAATATGTAGACTTGAATAACATGACCTAATGGACATACACGAACAGCTATAAAGCTCACATCCTTTACAAGCGCACACAGACCATTTTCAAGGATTGACTGTTATATGCCAGGACAGGGCACTTTTCCATACATTATCTCCTCTCATCATCATAAAGTTGTTAAACAGTCGTCTGGACTGGAAATCTCCCATCTGCCCTCCCAACCCACTCACCCCTTCTCTATCTTACTCTGTGTCCTGCACAGCCAACCTGTGTGGGCTGCATTCACAGGCTCCTTTCCCCTCTGGCCTCTGGTTGGGTTTACCCAGAATTGTTGGGAGCAAGAAGGGCAGAATAAGGGCATTTGTTCTCCCCACCCCTCTGCGGGGCTGCCGAGAGGGTCCCTGGGGATGGCTAAGCTCCAGGCAGCTGCCCTCTCCAAGTTCCTGTTCCCCCCCCACCCACGGCCTTCCAGGTGGCAATGGCCCAGCTGCTCTTAGTCCTGGGGGCTGTGCCATCCTTCGTGGGTCTTCCTAAACGCTACCCACACCTTTCCAACCTCTCTTAAATTGCCCAGTTAGACTGTGCCATCTGTCTCCTGTGAGGACCCTGGTTGTGTCCCAGCATCCTATCTGCAGTTAAGGAAACGTAAGCTCAGGGAGGCCAGTGACTCACAGGAGGTCGTGAGACCTCCTCCTACAGGTGCAGAATTAAGGACAGTCTCCCCCCTTGCTGGCATCTTTAATAAATCGTTAACACGACCCTGGCACATCCCTTCCACTTGAGACAACAGTACGCCCTGTCAGTGTGTGTGAATAACTCCTGAATGTGAGTGGTCACATGGCCTTTCTTGGTTTCTTAAACATCAGGAACATTGTGTCTTCCACAGTACAGTATTCGGCTGTTCATTAATTAATTTCTGCTGCATAATACCTTTTAGAGGAAGTTTTTTAATAGCAATGATGACCTCTGAATTTAATACTGCGTGATATTTGATATTTTGTCCTCCTCCTTTGCTGTTTTTCAGATCGCCACGAAATTATCTCCAAAGAGATACTGGAGCTGGACCCCTGGGAGAACCAATGGAATGTCGTAGCTGTCAACGCCCTCATGCACGACAGCTATGATGTCTGCCTGGTGGCGAGGAAGAATCCCCGCGACCTCATCCCCCCGCCTTCAGACTCAGTGGAGAAGGGTGGGGGGCACTGAGGTCTGTGTCTCTGTGGGACCCCCAAGGTGTCTGCCAAGGAGGCATTAGGGATGGAGAGCCCATGGCATGTGTGGGACGTGTGCACTGCATGCGTCGAGACCCTGTGCAGAGCGACATGCACTGGGCGCTGCAGGGGGTGTGTGCAGAGTCCACCCTCTGGTACCCAGGCTTTGCAGTGTCTTCCCCAAGCCTGGAGGGTAAGGATGGAACCGCCTGCTTCACCCACAGTTGAGCATAATCAGAAAACAGCCACTCCCAAAATATAATTTAGGGATGACATTTAAATAACACATAGAAATCCATCTATTTCACTTACTGTCTATGCTTCTGGAAGCCCAGTGGATTCACAGAATGCATTTTGGTAGCTATTCTTCACCAATTTCCCAGGAGTTTCACATGCACAAGGCTCTTGTTTAAGCAGGAACAGTCGGTAAATTCCCTAGAGCTTTCCCAGGGGAAGACCATCCTAGACTGAGATACTTTCTTCAGTGCAGAGCTGTGTGACTGTCATGACCGCTCCCCGTGTCCCCAGGTTCCAGCTGCTAACCCAGGCAGGAGTGACAGATCCATGGAAGCTGGAGCCAGTTGGAAACCTGCTGCTGCCACCACAAAACAGGACCAGTCAGACCCAGGGCGGGCTGTCCCGAGTAGGCTAGACTCTCAGAAGGCAGGGCCACACCTGTGTCTTTGCAGGTGTACCCCAAGTGCCCATGGCAGTGCCTGGCACATGCGTGGGTCTTTGGGTGGCCAGCATGGGGATGCCCCTGCTCCAACCATGTGACCACAGTGGAAGCTGCCAGTTTCCCTGGATGGGCTTGCGGG